TCTACGTACCGGTCATGTCGACTCTTCCCCTCTGAACGAAAATAATAATAAAATAAGCATGACACCTAACAAATATTCTAAGAATGATTTACAACCATATGTCATTTATGTTTACTCTGACAAGGCAGCCCCTATTCATTTTTCTGTATTATCTCGTATAATATCAGATTCAATCAAGAATGACATCCTTCTTATTAAGAGGCTAGGCGCTGGCAAGGCCATCATAGAGGCCAAATCGGCTGATGCTGCTAATCGTTTACTATCTAATCCGGTGTTCGAAAAAAATAAATTACATGCTTTCATTCCATCTTTTAAAGTCCTCCGCACGGGTATTCTTAAGGGAATCGACCAGGCTATTTCAACGGAATGCGTAAAAGAAAATTTAACCTCTACGATCAAAATACTAGACGCTCAGCGTTTGAACAGACGCATGACAATTGACGGTAAGACCACATATGTACCATCTCGTACTTTCTGTATCAAATTTGCAGGTCAAACGCTCCCAAAGGAGGTGGTTTTGTTCAACGCCATCTATAAGATAGAGCCATTCGTTCCTAAGCCAAAGTTATGCTACGCATGCTACAGAGTGGGACATCTTGGTCGAGACTGCAAGAGTACCAGACCACGCTGCTTATTTTGTGGAACCTCCAAGGAGGATGATCACTCTTACTCCGAACAACAAGAGCAACCCAAATGCGGGGGGGGATTATCTGGCAACTTCGTACTCGTGCCCTATCATAATCAGGCATAAATCCATACTTGGATTAGTAGCGCAGGAAGATATCCCGCTTGTGGAAGCTAGAAGAATAGTAGCTACCAATAATCCTACCCCTTTACCCTCCTATAATATCATTCAAGACTTCAGGAATTTTCCCTACTTAAAAACTAAATCTTCTTCTTCTTCTTTTTTCCCTTCGACAGCTTCTCCTTCCGATATAAATAATTCCAATTTTTCCTCTTTACCCACCTCTAATCGCTTTCAACATTTAAATGATCTCGGGGATCCCTCTTCTCATTTTCCACACGGGAGTTACGCCAGCGTCACAACAACGTCATTGCAGACGACTTCTGGTCAAGGACAAGGTCATCCGGGTCCTTCTAAAGGAAAACCAACTATACGAGAAATAGAATCTGTTGCAGGAAGATATAAAATTGCCTCGACCCCCTACTCTACCGGCGTTCGAACATCACGCCCGATTAATAGGTCGGGATATTCCGAAGAACATAAAAAATTATTGTCGACACCTAATGGACATAGCAAGATATACCCTGACGAGGTGCATACGGGCGGAGGTCCCAAGGGAAGTCATAGCTCTGCCTTAACTAACGAAGACTCATCAACAACGAAGGAGAATGAGAGTATAGGTACGACTTTACACAAAGTCATAGTTTTTCTGGAAAATTGTGAGTCTCTAATCAGCATTCCCTCTATTAGAAACTTTATATCTCCCATTATCAACCTACTTAAAAAAGCTTCCGACATTTTGACTACACTAGGTTTTTGCACGGAGAGCTCTGCGGAATCTCAGCACAACACTTACCCTCTTCCTTCCAATTCTGTCTACTATGATAACTACAGTAATTACCTTCACTCAATATAATAAGCACTCTCATTCTACTCGCATCTTACAGTGGAACTGCTGCGGAATTCGGGGTAAACTTCCTCAGCTGCAACAACTAAGCAAACAATTTGACATTTTGTGCATACAGGATACCCTGTTGTTCCCTAATATCTCTTTCCGACTTCTTTTCTTTCAATCTGTGAAAATGGACGCGGATGGCCCTGGTAAGAGGGGAATCGGCATGTTACTGAGAAATAATATAATTTTTAACCACTTAGACCTAACAGATTTATCGCATCCTTCAATTGAAATTCAGGGCATATCTCTTAACATGCTTGATGACAAGTTAGTAGTCATTAACATTTACCGTCACCCTAACAAGTTTACACCGCCTGAATGGTATAACAAGCTCTCTCAATTGATCTCTACATATAAGTATGCTATTGTACTTGGAGATTTTAATGCGCATAACACTTTCTGGGGTTGCTCAAAATCGGATCGTCCTGGCAGGGCGCTCCTGGGAGCAGTGAATGACAGCAAAGCCTGTGTGATGAATGATGGCAATCCTACCTTTCTTACCCCCCCCTGGGTCAAATAAATCCGTTATAGATATAACTATCGCTTCAGCCAGCCTGGCTCCGCTTTGTAATGTCTCAACAGAACAGGATACTTTTGGTAGTGACCATTTTCCCACGATTATTTCCATCGGGAGTGTACCACATTTACGACACTTCTTTTTATATAAGCTAATATTGGACTCCAGCAAAGCGAAAGAATTACATCAGAACCTGCTTTCCTCCTCTGAAAAATTTTTTAATGAGACTCCCTCAGATCCCATTAAGGCATATGATCATCTTGCAGATCATCTAAGAGATCAAACTAGACTACTTCTGCCAGAGAACCAACGCCATCCCCGTACAGTTATCGCGCCCAGCGATAAGAAGGGCCATTTTAAACCGCAGAGCTGCTGCGAAGACTTACCAGCGATGTCCTTCCTTGGAAAACTTTCTAGCGTTCAAGAAATCCAGAGCAGCTTGTTCCAGGACCTTGTATAAAGTTAAGAAGAGACAGTGGAGGAAATTCGTAGAATCCATTGACAATGAGACTCCTACAGGTGAAATATGGCGTCTTATTAAGGCCTTTAAAAGGCGTAACTTAGCGGAATCTTCTAACACAATTTTAGACGACTCAAACCATTGTGCTCAGCTGGAAAAGGCGAAAGAAAAAATTTGTCCTCCTTTCTGTCCGCCGAACATTACCATAGGATTAGACTCGATGATTGCGGAAGACAAGCATCGCTCGGGGAGACTCTTTACTCACCTGGACGCGCCGTTCTCCACCAAGGAACTCCACTT